AATTAACTTACAAAGTTACATCTTTAAGTTAATCAATTTACAAAGTAACGTCTTTAAATTAATGAATTTACAAAGTTACGTGTTTAAATAAATTAACTTGCAAAGTCACGTCTTTAAATTAATCAATTTACAAAGTTACGTCTTTAAATAAATTAACTTGCAAAGTTACGTCTTTAAATTAATCAATTTACAAAGTTACATCTTTAAATTAATCAATTCGCAAGGTAACGCCTCTAAATTAGTCAATTAACAAAGTTACGTCTTTAAATTAATGAATTTACAAAGTTACACCTTGAAATTGATCAACCTCCAAGGTTACATCTTTAAATTAATCAATTCGCAAGGTGACGCCTCTAAATTAATCAATTAACAAAGTTACGTCTTTAAATTAATAAATTTGCAAAGTAACGTCTCAAAGTTCAAACAATCGACAGAACTTTTCATTGTCGTCGGTACAATTGCACTTCCCACCAAAGAGGTTATGCTCTCACCTTGTTGTCGTTCGCGTCGACCCAACGTTTCCCAATGCCGAAATTGTACACCGGCAGCCTCTTGTACTCGGAGACGTAGGTGTACGCTCTCTTCTCGGGCAGGGGATCGTCGAACCCCATGGAATTCAACATCGTGTTGTAATGCTGAAGATTCATCGGCGAAGCCGGGCTCTCCTCGATAGCCAGCACGGTTTTCTCCGCCACCCCGATCAAATAAAGGAGAGACAGGCTTGTTGTCAGCAGACTCGGACCAATTCTCATTGTTCCGAACTTTGTCTCCGGATTAAATCCGACCTGAGAAGAGAAAGGATCGACGAGTCAAGTTGACCGTGAAGGAAAATTCGAACGAAGATAATCCCATGCGTGGTGATTTCGAATTAATCTCGAATTAATGCGACGCGCGTCGAGAATATTTTGTCCAAAATTCTAATATTTTCCTCTGTTTTAAATATATTCAAGTAAAAACAAAATAGGCAAAGCCACAAAATGATAAATTTACTAATAGATTAGATTAAATTAAATGATAAATAATATTTTAATAAATAATTTATTAAATAATAAATTATTTATTAAAATAATTTTTACTAAATAATAAATTATTTATTAAAATAATTTTTATTAAATAATTATTGTTAATTATTAAATAATATTTTAATAAATAATTTATTAAATAATAAATTAAACTTTTCAATAATTTCTATCCATAACGTGTTATCGTGTACGATTCGGTCACTCGTTATGGTCCGCAATCAAGTAGCCAACGGCCACAAGGTGGTTAAAGTCTCGAAATTCGAGGGAATATGTCTCGATAGGGAGAAAAACTTGCTTTTTCACGTATCTAACCTACCGAGAATCGCCTCGTTCCAATTCTAGAAATTCGATGCTGAAAGTTGCTCGAGAACTTCGATCATTTGACCGTCCTACGATTCTACATGTCGTGTGAATGTAAGTTTTCAGACGCTGGGAAACATCTGTTCGCCGATCCCGAGTATCAGGCGTTGAACGATTTTTTTTTTTTCTAGATTCTCTTTTTACAACGAGTGACGAAACGATCAGGGACTCGCGGACTCGACAACGATGGCAGGGATTTTTTTTCCAAGGGTCACGAGCAGATTGTAAATCCGGCAAATGAAACGAGACGAGGCGTGGGAAACGCGTACTCGGCGCGCTCTGGCGTTCCGCTCGGCTCGCAATTGTCACTTTAACCCCGAGGCCGATTTAATTTCCACCGGCATCTCGCCAGAAATGAAAACGCCCCTCTGCTAAGCGTTAGCTACTGCTGGAATTTTCACGCGTTGCGCCAAGTCCACGTTCCGACGCGAGAATCGGAGCAGCCCTGATCGCGAGAGAGCGAAAGAAGGGAGGAAAAGGCTTACTCGCCCCGTTCGTGAAACTTATTGTCTTATTTATCTCGTCGTATTTTTCTAGTTTCTCTTCGTACTCTTCCTATTAATTTTTTTAGTTTCGTCGTATTAATTTTCCTATTAATTTTTTTCGAATCGTCGAATCGCTCGTGACTGCTGCCGAGAGGTAGAATTCGAGCACGAGCAAGCAGCAGCGTATCGAATATTGAACAGTCGGAGGGAAGATTTGGCGGTTTCAAAATCCAACAATCGAGTAATCGTATCTTCTCGATACGACCGCGAATTCCTAATGATCGTCGGGGATCGACTGTGTTCACTCGAATTTCACCACGAAGGGAAACTTCTCTCAAAACGCGTAGGTTTCGCGCGAAAGGGAACATTCAAGCGGAGAATCTTCTTAAGCGAATCCTCTTTGCCGTCGAAATTTAACGCTGGAATTTAACCGACGATTAAAATTCTCCTCGAAGGTGTTCAAGTAAACGAAAACAGAAAAGAGAAAAATAAAAACGAGGCGCACAAGCATTCATACATTTTACGAAGTATCATTTATATCTCTAACTAATACTATTTCAATAGAAATGTGAAAATGTCCAACAACAGAAGTTAAAGATTGATTGTTTCGATCATTTTGGTAGTTTTAGTGTTAAATTTATAAATTTATAATATAAATTTTGGTAGTTTTAGTGTTAAATTTATATAATATATAAATAATATATAAATTTATATATTGTTATATAAATTTGTAATAAATTTATATAATGTACACATTTATAATAAATTTATATAACAATAAATAAATTTATAATGAATTTATATAATATACAAATTTATAATAAATTTATATAACAATAAATAAATTTAGTATATGTAAATAGTAATAGTAATATATATAAAAATTTGTAATAAATTTATGTAATAATATAATTTAAATATAAGTTAAATTTACATAATAATATAAAGGTATAATAATATATATTATATAATATATATACCCCCATAACCTTCATATTCGTTTCAACGAAATTCGAGAATAAATTCTAATAAACGAGAAACGTGATAAAATTGTCCATATTGCAACAGGTGCCTCGACTTCATTTGCCTTTCCTTCTCTCTCTCTCTCTCTCTCTCTCTCTCTCTCTCTCTCTCTCTCTCTCTCTC